TCTCATACACAAAATTTTGTTGTTCTTCCTTTGGTAACCTATCCTTAACTTTCACTAATGTCGATCTTATGGTGTCACTCGCCCTAAAATACACACTTATATCATGTTTGTTTAGAATCTGTTTGATTTCTTCCGATGTTTCACTATGGCATGGGATGGCCACAGTGTACTTCTAGACTTTTCGTATACATTCTAGTTTAATGTTTCTGTCATTTCTAACAATCTTTTTAAAAACTCTTTTGGGTAGTTGTTATCGCCAAGTGTAGACCATATTCTATTCCATTCAACTCGTTGCTCTTCCTTATCTGTGACGAGCTTACTACTTCTGTTCATTAAATTTTTTTACAACATTGACTTTCGTGCACTGCGCATGAGCCGAATCACAATCTAAGTATTTCTCAGAATGTGTTGATTTCCTGGATACATTTATTTTCAACTTATTATTATTGTGTCTTCTTTCAACCCAACAATCGAGAAACGCTAGATTGTGGTCAACGGATTCTACTCCCTTTGTTAACTTAATGCTTTCCGAAATGTTGTTTACATTGTTAAACAATTCTTCTTAACCGTCTCGTTTATTAATAATAAAAATGTCATCTACATACCGTAACCAGACCTTAGGTGGATATACACTTCTTGCGATTGAACTGGTTTCTAGGGAATGCATGAATAAATTCGCTGCAATCGGAGAAACTGGTGAACCCGTTGTTATACTCTCTTTTTTTCTGTAAAGGTCTCCTTGAAATATGAATAAGGCGGATCTTAAACATACTTCCAAACATTTGATAACTTCAGATAGATCTAATGGGCAACGTAAATTCAAATCTGAATCAGATTCTAAACAATCATATATAATATCCAAAGTTCTATTGATAAGTACATTAGTGAATAAGGAAGATATATAAAAACTTGCCACTATTTCATCCTCTTCTATATCGATATAGACTGTTTATATATACTGCTTACTACCTGTTCTATTTGTGAATTTTTCCTGTCTATGTATTCCGCATCACGATTTATTGCTAACAATAAGGAGAGATGAATTCCTAAGAGGTTTACGCCTGAAGAGAAAGTGGAATGGAAAACTAACTACTAAAGATGGATGACATCGAACAGACTAGGAAATCCTATAGACTCATTATACTAACTAACACGAAACTTCTGTGGTACATTGAGTGAGAAATTGATTTCGTCAGAGAAAGTTTCACTAGAACCTATTGTAGGATTTTATTTTCCTTCTCCTCATCATCCATCTGTACCTACTTCACAAAATAAAACTATTTCGAATCAATTCATATTGCATAGATTTGATAAAGCTGATTTTGATCCAGAAGCAATTTCCCTAGATTTATCAGTCTGTCAGAGATTACGAGATACAGTTTTTTACATTCTCGTTGCCTATCACTTATACTTGGAGAAAGAGGAACCACTACTATTCACACGCCGCAAAATAGGAACGAAACCGACTGGGACGAGTGAAGATGCACCCACTTGAAAACACGACAAACAAAGTCGGAAATGCCCTCACTAGCATATTGATTTGTAACTCCATTTGATTATTGATTACAAAATAGCCACATATGAAAAATGTTCAGAATCATGACAAATACTACACCGACTAATCACCATACCAAATTAGAAACAGAACTAATGTTGAATAGAAATCACAATGAGTGGGAAATGTAATTTTGTCTTCTCATGCCGTCATATCACGGCTCGCACATATTTTATACACAATAAACACTTTCTTCGCGTTTTTCGATTGTAGAATTGAATGAAATATGTCTTGCACCAAAGTACAGAAAAGTTTCTATATTCTAGCTGATAATTCATAACTCACACACACCTAAACTGCCTTCATATATTTCAACGAGATTTTATTTATTAAAACCGAGAACTTTCCTAAACGATAATAGAATACGACTAAACCTCAAACTGACTGTCCTTAGATCTTTGCGAAACGCAGTACCTCAAGAATCAGCGCTTGTATAAATGCTATCTCATGTATATATATAATATATATATATATATATATACGAAAACTATATGGATTTTTATTCAGGGGATGAGACTTGCAATATATGCAGTTTAAATGTCTAGTTACCAAAAGAACTTCCGATAGGAAAGTTAATTTATCTCCTAATATTGGATATTCGAAATTCATATGCAAACCGCAATCCAATATATTCCGTTCTAAGCTCATACCAAAAGCTTCGAAATGAAAGTTAAGTCATCTTAGACATAGAAGGTCGCATCAGATTTTATCAATTTTCCAAGTTCTTACTTTGAGTTTGTGAGCAATTTAGTTTCTTACATTTCCAAGGGATGAGTTGGTCCTTATGGCCTTTATTCGTTCAAACTAATTATTCTTTACACGGATGCTCAAACTAGTTGATCGAAAGCTTTCCATACTCCATATTCTAGTTCAGAAATCGTCGAGAATGTGAGAAGTTAACATGCATTCACAAGCGAATTTCATAACTGCGGAGTGTCTCATTCTTCACAGAGTGGGATTCCGGACAATAAATGCTTTTAATAATACAAGTAGGTATGTACATGAATTTCGTCAGATTTCATCTTTTATCTAGTGATTATACATTTAGAGCCAATCCTTGGTCCATTTCAAGCAATCCCAAATTATTTCAAATCCTGGATCATACGCAATGCGCAATGTTGACAAGATAGAGCTTCCACTTGCACGGTTATAAGCTTTGAATTTAATAATACCTGAGCACAGAGACCAATCGATCCCTTGAAATGACTTCACAGTGATAATGGACTGTGTTTACCCTTAATGAAAATAGTTTCCAGGTAATACAAATTCAATTGACGTAATAACTCTGAAATTAAATGTTTTTCAATAGGTGAGGTTAGTTTGGTCATTATAAAAACCAGTTAGAAGCACCAATTCTCAAAAAATAATATACATCTGACATCCATATTGCTTTCCTTAACAGTTTATTCCAACAATTTCAACAAGAGATATAAACTCATATCCGTAGAATTGTCATTAACTATTGAATGAGATTTTAGTGACTTCACAACCACGTACATGTACAAGTTTTTAGTTCGATATGACACGGTCACCAACTAGCATTTATATACGTTTCACATTTGGATTTCTCTCTTGCAATCATTTAGCATGGAATAACGTTTGGAATTATAGTGACTTTAAAACAGTACAAATCTTCACTTTGTAATTTCATCATTTACTCAAATGCATGGTTTTTGTGCCGTCATTCCACGACAGAGAATCTAGTCTAGGCCTACCATAAAGTGTGCAGTCATTTTGCTTTTCACTTTTACAGAACATTACATGACATCACTACGAATTTTAAAATCAAACTAACTATTCACTGAAACGGAACACACTTCGAAATTCGGTTCTTACATTGGCGAGTAACAGACCCAAAGGTTTGACTTTCAACTATTTTGTTACTCAAATGATATTTGTTTTCATCAAAGCAAAAGAAACTGAAGTTTTACAAGCATGTAATCAATTAAAAATAGGTAAATTTTTAGATGAATAATGAGACAACAGTATAAATAGAAATTAACTGACAACTACATAATCGTATACAACCTGAATCTAACATAACTTAAATTCACCAGTGTTTAAGCAATGTTCGTATTTCCGGTGGAGATAATTGGTTGGTTAAAACAGCTTGATTTTTGGGCATGTGTAAGTCCAATTAGCTAACAACATTTGGTTGGCATAGATTTGGTTGATGCAAACTAAAGGTAAATTATATGAAAACAAGTAAGATTATACTGTTCTGAACGTAATCACGTATGAGACCTACTTACTGATCTCCACGTTATGTGTTGATTGTGATGGACAAACTTTATATCCAAATAATCAAAATTCTATTGAAGTAAGCTATTTAAGTGAACATATATTTGTTTGTTAATTATCATAAAAAGTAAAAATATGTCATTTGTGTTTATACACAATACTATGTTTTTATCAATTCCACTGGTTTTATCGTATGTTTAATAAACGAACTAGATTATCGAATGGATAAACACTGTTTATCAATATCCACTAATTTCAAAAGAGTGAATGAATCTCAATGTGTAAAAACAATGGAAATTATATCACTTGTGTTTGTAGATTATGATAATGTGTCCTCATTCAGTTATGAATCTTAACTACAGAAACTGACTCAAATAGCGACATATAAAGGAGGGTAGTATGACGAACATGCAGTACTAACGGTGTGAGTAATACTGTTTACCGAGAAGGAACTACACACTGCATTTACTTGTAAAGCAATTTGCAGAACAATTCATTGAATTCACCATTAGCACATCTTCCTTGAATTATCTTTTACAGACTTCTTTGTTCTTTCATTCCTGTTATTACTCCACCTCCTTTTGTTTTTCTTTCCTTGCTACGCATTTTTCACTTCTGTCTGTAAGGATCCTACTTCCAGTTCCTGAAACATTCTACTTATATCTGTTCATATAAGTAGAACACAACCCACACCTTATCTGGCTGCACGACCATTTTTCAGTGCAGTTCTACAAATTCAAAGGGAAACCTGTGAAGAGTCATAACCCTGAACATTTAACTGATTGTGATCATTGAACTAACACACATGTTGGTTTTATGACCGTTTATGGAATCCTTCCAAATCTACCAGGATCCTCAATACAAAAGAAGCTTTAGTTATCCACTAGAGGAACTCTGAACTTTGTACGCAAATGGAGTATTTCCTAGCTTATCAATTACCTTGTCCTTAACTCATTGTAATTATCTGATTTTCATTTCACAAATGTCAAATTTTTTATTAAATTATCCATAATTTTATCTCACATTTGTTTCACTTAATCCTTCTAGCACCTTCAACTATAAAAGCAAAATATATCAGATATCCTACTTTACTCTGACTGATCCAACATCAGTTCATTCGCTTTAGGTTTTAGTTTATATTTGTACGTTCAATTAAACAGAGTGATGATATTTTCGCTGAAATTTGTAACTCTATATCCCTTACCATTCCATTGTTCAGCCACTGGCATCTTGCAAAATGACTCGGACAATGTATTGTCAATTGATCCAGTTGATGAAATCCATGGTACGACACTTGCTGTGATGATTTCAGTTGACGTATTCAAAGTTCTTTGATACATGAATGAGTTGATTGAAATCCATGTTTTACCCAAATCCTTACTCATCATTACACCTCCACCATTTGCCCCCAAACCGAACAATATGCCAAGTGGATTTGTGTATGCTATAATCTGTTCAACAAATGGTCCCATGTCTAAAATTAAAAGTTAGGTATAATAAGATTTCCATTATTCGTATCAGAGTATTACTGAACAGAATGTTTGCCGAATATGTTTCTCGTAAATTCGTACTAAGAATATCTCCAATCAGTGAAATTTGAAATAACTTCAATGAACATACAATGTGAAAATCATTTCTTACTGAAGGTCTTTTCTACCACTTTGTTAATTCGATCCTTCAAAAATCTGAATCAATTTGGAAATGTTCTTCATTTACATAACGTTTTAGCTTGTAGATTTGGATGTTTATGCCTAATATTTTGTATTCATAAATAATATAATTAAATTTCACTCAGATAACAGACTAAAAAGGAGACTATTTTTCATTTTTGTCAGAGTAATATGTCATTACATCAAGCGGTTAGAATTTATGTAATCAGATGCTGAATTCAGAGACAATTTTGTAACATTAGAATGTTCGCTAAAGCCTCATGTGATGTTTAGTAATCATTGTGGATGAGATGATGAAATAGTGGTTGTTTATTAATGACCAAATAGCAAGTTTGAAAAGTCTAAATATGTATGTTCCTAAGAAAGTCAATATCCGTATCATTGTTTACTTCGAACTTTGGTTAGACTAAAATAGTTCGCATATCCAGTATATTCAACATTAGCTAACACAAGAAGCACCACAGAAGCAATAAATGGTTTTCTATTTAGAAAAGTCGAATTTTTTATTCTAACAAAGAAACATCCTTCAATTTATTTGTCTCAATCATCTTGAGATGCTAAAACATCTTTAGATAATCGAGAAGGTAATATATTTCGATTCTAACCCACTAAAACACACAAAGATAAAGATTAGATGTTGTGTATATATATTGTTATTTGTTAATTTATTAATGAATGAAGGCTAACATTATGGTGAAAACGATAATGTAATGCTCACAACTTGGAGAAATTCAATTCGTCAAGCTTAGAGTTGTTATGTATTTCTGTCGAAATGAATATTATTGCAACGAATCCCTGAATAAACTTAGTCTTTCAACTATAAATAATAGCATTCGACTAATAACAAAACTGAAATTTCTATGATAACCTACCGATCCATATTCTGTCAGGTAATTTGCTAATCATGAAGCAACGTCTTTCCAAACCAAATGACCCCTTCATATTAAATGCGCGTCCACAATAAAACAGACGATCACGAACATTTAAGAATGTATCTGATTGACGACTAGGCAACGGCACAGCAGGATTCCGCAATGCCTTGTAATGAGGTAAATCACATGGATCTGAATACGGAAGTTAACATCAAGACTAATGATTATTATCCACCACAGCATAATAATTTGGCACTTGTTACTGGTCCATTTCATATGATTAACATTATATGCGTGAACCGTTTTGTCGAAGATGAAACAAAAGAATACTCAATAACATTCATTAACATATGATGGTCTTGTAACATGTCCAAACCTATTCACTCAAAAAGTATGTGTACATCATCCTATAGTTCGATGATGGATAGTAAATTTATTTAGAATCCACCTTTGTAGTATTTTATAGAAGTTCTCACGTATGTATTTTCAACCATAAGAAAGATATTCCTCCCTCCCTCCCTCCTTAACTGTTCAAAAACAGGCTGCTGTGCTTACATCAAACCTACCATAAAAAGATCAGTTTTGATTTATGTTATGACCTTGAATCGCTTTTACCCCGTGATACTTGTTATGACTTGACCTTGGTCGGTGTAGTCTAAATTATGACCTTGACGCGTTAGGCTGAGTGGCTTAACCTTGAGTCTAATATGCGTGAGTTCGAGATGGGGTAGAGAGAACTATTCTAAATCCTGATTGGTTGGCAAGCACGCGAGTGAAAGAAGACAAGACAGTTGGAACACTAAACTCTGGATTCTCTGAATTCGGATTACTACAAAAATGTACATGAATAAATAAGTGCATATCTTGACCACGACGTAGGATAATTTGGAAAAATACAGTTATGCCCGAAACAGGGAATTAGGGTAGAAAATATAGTGCAAAATATAATGTTTAAATTACAATATTTTTGGAACAAAAAAGGGTATGCTAGTGAATGATACATAGAACGAAAGCTCGTGTTATGTAGAATAAGATAGGGACAAAAATAAATATAAGTGTTTTACAGGTTTTGAATGAAATGCAATAACGTCCCAAGAAAATAGCTTTCGTAATTGTCTGGGCTTCTTAATTCCCCGTTCATAACACCTTCCCCCTTTAAAAAAAAAAGAAAAAAAAATATGGTTAGTTACTATATACAGGTAAGTGCTGAGATATCATCATTGATATCTTCCTTCGGAAACGTATGTTCTCCTCTTTGGGTCTACCTGTAGAATATCTGGTCTTCTGCGTTTCCGTGATGCTTTCCTAATAGGACTTTGTTCAGGTTGCGTGGTCTTCTGAGTCGCTGAGCATTTTATGTCAAAACTGTCCAGAATGATTCTCCACATTGAGTCTAATTTCTCGGTTTTCTGTGAAGTGCCAGCATTTTCCAGTATGTGGTTGACATGGCGTGTCCACTTCTGTCCTTCAACTTCCACCACATACATTACGTTCCCTTGTCTCTTAAGTATGCGTCCACTGGTCCATTGTGGAGGTGAATATCGGAAATCGCGGACGTATACTTTTTGATTTTTCTGGAAAATTCTGCGTTTCGCCCCATGATGGCGATCAAATTGGTTTTCCATCTTTCTGTTTCTTTTTCCGATGTCTCTTTGCTGTGGTTTCATGGCATCGAGGGCAGTTCTTACTTTTCTACCAAACATAATTTCTGCTGGGGACATTTGATTTGGTGTTGATGGGTTTGGAGTTGTTCTGTAGACCAAGAGAAAGTCATCAAGAATCTCCTCTATCTTTCCCTCCCCTTTTGCCTTCAGTAGCGCTCTTTTGAAGGTATCTACAAACCTTTCGGCCTGACCATTCGATTGTGGATGGTACGGAGGTGATCGGACATGTTTGACTCCAAACCTCTTGCAGAAATCTGAGAAGATGGAAGAAATAAACTGAGTGCCGTTATCTGTCACGAGAACATCTGGAACTCCAAAACGGGAGAATAACTGCCGTAGCTTCATGATAGTCTGTTGCGAAGTGATTTGATTTATAGGAAAAATCTCCGGCCATTTTGAATAAGCATCAACACAAACGAGGAAGTACGTACCCTGGAATGGGCCAGCAAGATCAACATGTATACGCGACCAAGGTTTTCTGGAGATGGCCAAGATTGTAGTTCAGCTTTTCGTGGACACTTTGAAAGAAGTACATGAGACTCCGAAGTTTCACTAGCGCATACTTTGTCTGAAGTATTCGATTTGGAAATTTTATGAGAAGGCAATGAATCGGCGGTATTTGATTTGACATGGTGAGAACACATAACATTTGAATTGTTTGATTCAGAAAGATCATAAGAACATGTTTCATCAGAAGCATTTAATTCGTTAATATCCAGAGAGGATGATTCGTCGGAGGCATTTGATTTAGAAATATCATTAGGGATTTGGATAGAATCATAGGAAACATTTTGAGAACATACCTCATCTAATAATTTATTCAAAGTATCAACATGTGCAATCCAATCTAATCCCAATAGATCTAAATCGTGTCGATTTGTTAGATAACAAACATCTGTAAATTTGCTTCCCATAAGTTGAACATTGCATAGGACCTCTCCTGTCAACTTTACTATGTCTCCTGACGCATTTCGGGCGACATGTTCCGTCGGTCGGATGGATGGGCATCCTAACTTGTGCCATGTGTTCTTTGAAATCAACGTGACATCAGAAGCAGTGTCCAACTGAAGTCGTATAAGTTTTTCATTTACTAATAAATTTACGAATTTCCGCCTACTTTTAAATCCAACTTTAAAGGTTGCAAACGTGGTTTTAATTTGACTGTCTGATCGTTGCTTTGAATTTTCACTACGATGTTTAGTCTTGCGTTTATTTAACGAACAATGACCTTCTTTGTGGCCAATGCGATGACATTTGCGGCATTTATGATTCTTAAACGGACAGAATTTTGCAAAATGCCATGCTCCGCAGAACCAGCATGGTGATGGGGGGTTGGCAGGTTGTTTCCTGCTTGTACAGTTTTGTTTCGATGATTTTATGGATCGGAGCGCATTAATTGAATCAGAACCGGAAGGTTTAACCTTCTGTTGCACCATCGCAGTGTCATGCTTGAGATTAAGTAACCGCTGACATTCGGTTGTAACCATTTGTAATGTCATATTTGGTTCTTGTTCAATGCGTGCCAACATTCTGGTACGGACATCTGCATCTTCTTCATTCTTTAGACCACATATGAAAATCAAGCATTTAAATTGGTCCGCTGTGATTTCGTTTATTTTGAAGCGTTCGCACTGTCGATTTACCTTCCCGGCATACGTGAGATAATCGTCCTCTGGAGATTTCGTTATTTGGAAGCATTTATAGCGAGTATTAAATAATGAGGACTGTTCATCGAAAATATCAGATAAAATCTGGACTGTATCTTTGAATGATACATCTCGTGGATTTTGCGGCAAGATAAAATTCACATATTTATTATATTCCTGTGTTCCCAGTCTTCTTAAGAGTAAGCGGACTTTCGCTGCGTCATCAAGATGCGAGCATTCAACGCGGAAAATATCTTCACAACGGTGAAACCACGAACTGAAAATGATATTAGCTTCAGGATCATACTGGAATTCAGAAATAGAATTTATGATGCTTTCATGCTTATCTGATTGACAAGCTGAGGACGACTGTAATGAGAACATTCGTGCGAATGCATCCAAAAGCTTCGTCTGATTTGCCTCATTTTGTGCTTGCTGCATTTGAAGAATAGTTTTAAGGTCATCCAATGAAACAGGCATTTTGTACTGGATCAATCAATATAGGAAAGAAAAAAAAATTCTCCGTCGCCAGTTGTTATGACCTTGAATCGCTTTTACCCCGTGATACTTGTTATGACTTGACCTTGGTCGGTGTAGTCTAAATTATGACCTTGACGCGTTAGGCTGAGTGGCTTAACCTTGAGTCTAATATGCGTGAGTTCGAGATGGGGTAGAGAGAACTATTCTAAATCCTGATTGGTTGGCAAGCACGCGAGTGAAAGAAGACAAGACAGTTGGAACACTAAACTCTGGATTCTCTGAATTCGGATTACTACAAAAATGTACATGAATAAATAAGTGCATATCTTGACCACGACGTAGGATAATTTGGAAAAATACAGTTATGCCCGAAACAGGGAATTAGGGTAGAAAATATAGTGCAAAATATAATGTTTAAATTACAATATTTTTGGAACAAAAAAGGGTATGCTAGTGAATGATACATAGAACGAAAGCTCGTGTTATGTAGAATAAGATAGGGACAAAAATAAATATAAGTGTTTTACAGGTTTTGAATGAAATGCAATAACGTCCCAAGAAAATAGCTTTCGTAATTGTCTGGGCTTCTTAATTCCCCGTTCATAACAATTTACTTTCCAAAGTAGCGTGACTATTGTCTTTTTTTATTATCTCGGTTGTTTTATATACCTTTCCTCCAATTAAAAAGGCAATTTACGATTAAATAGTTAAGAACGTTGTAGGTGACTGACTGACTGAGTTAAGAATGTATTGTGCTAATAATATTGTAGACTTCTAAATAAAAAATTAATGGATTCTGATGTGTATATTTTATTCAGACTTTATTACTATTGATTTTCCAAGTTGGTCGGTATCATGTACTTAATTACGCCTGTTACTCCTCGTGGAGGAGCATAGGCCGCCCACCAACGCTCTCCATCCAAACCTGTCCTGGGCGGTCTTTTCCAGCTCTTCCCAGTTGTTATTCATCTTTTCATATCTGCTTCTATTTCCCGACATAATAAATTCTTTAACTTTCCATTATCCGCTTCCCTACAGGATTACAGGTTAGGGCTTGCCTCGCGATGCAGTTTGGTGATTTTCGTAATGTATGTCCTATCCATTCCCATCGTCTTTTCCTAATTTCTTCTTCAGCTGGAAGCTGGTTTGTTTTCTCCCACAAAAGGCTGTTGCTGATGGTGTCCGGTTAATGGATGTTGAGTATCTTGCGTGGTACCATGTGCTTGAGAGTTATGCAACTAACGTTACGCCATAATAACATTCATTATTGAGACTGGTCATCATTAACATAAATGCACGATGATCGTAGATTAGCAATCTTGTTTCAAACTCTGAGCTGCAAAGTATTTGACTATATGAAGAATATCCAGAATGTCATTCACTATTCAATTTATAGATGGATAGACTAGGGATTAATGACCAGGATTAACGATTGCCCTGGTTGTCAGAAGGGACATCAGCCTCGTGGCTTCCGAAGGAACTCGAATTTATTCATTATACATCGAAACTCTTCTTAATGAAGAGCTTCTAACTCCCAGGACAGAGTTTAAACGGTTTGAAATATTTCTTCTGGTTAGCGTTGTTTTGGCGAGTTAGTTTTCTACGGGATGGTGTTGCTAACCCCATGCCCAACCCTCCCCCTTCATCCGGGCTTGTGACCGGCGGTAGCCCAAGAGGGGCTCCATGCAGAGGATGTTAAAAACTTTATAAACTTGGACTAGTTCGGAGTAAACACCAGTGTCAGGCAAGGTTGGTTTCTTCGGCTCTACGGTGTGGGTGGGAAGGTAGTCAACACCATACGGAATTCTTATGATGGATTAAACTGGAATATCGTACGTGGAGGACAGTTCACAGACTCGTTCGAAGGAAACAATGGTGTCAGGCAAGGTTGTTTACTCTCACCCTTACTCCTTCTCCTTTTGATCGACTGGATTATGAAGATGTCAGCATCTGGGGGAAAGCAAGGGATACAGTGGATATCTAGGATGAAGCTAGACGATCTAGACTTCTCAGGTGATCTGGCTCTTCTGTAGCACACGCAACAACAAATGCAGGAGACGACCAGTGAAGCCGCAGCCTTAGCAGGAGTAGATCTCAATATACAAAACGTTAAAAGCAAGATTTTACGATACAACACAACAAGTATCAATCAATTCACACTTGACGGAGAAGTTTGTAGGATGCAAAAACCTTTATATACTTGAACAGCATCATTGATGAGCATTGTGGATCTGACGCAGATGTGAAGGCGCGGATTGGCGAAGCAAGAGCAGCATATTACAACTAAAGAACATCTAGAACCCGAAACAACTGTCAACCAACAACAAGGTCAGAGTTTTCAATAAAATGTCAAGACAGTTCTACTGTATGGAGCGGAAGCTTGGAGAACTATGAAAGTCATCAACCAGAAGATACAAGTGTTTATTGACGGTTTTCTATGCAAAATACTTCGGATCGATTGGCCACACACTATCTGGAACAACCTACTTTGAGATTGAACGAACCAGATTCCAGCGGAAGAAGAAATCAGAGAGAAGCGCTGGAAGTGGATAGGACACATATTGAGGAAAGCACTCAACTGTGTCACAAGGCACACTCTCACTTGAAATCCTGAAGGCCAAAGGAGGAGAGGAAAACCAAAGAACACATTATGCCAAGAAACGGAGACAGATATGAGAAGAATGAACAACAGTTGGATATAACTAGAAAGGAAGGTTAAGGACAGAGTGGATTGGAAAATGGTTGTCGAAGGCCTATGCTCCATTGGGAATAATAGGTGTAAGTAACTAAGTAGGTAAGACTATGAGTAGTTCAAACAAAAGTAAACCGTACTTGTAGTGCACAAAATGTTTTGAGAATATTTTAAATTTTGTCAAGATTTCTCCGAATGCATTTGGTTTTCTGTCTGATCTTCATCTTTGCATAGGTAAATTGTTCCTGTCCTGATATTTTAGTAATATCAGTCGGTTGACTATTGGTGACATTAAAACACTCAGTTATAGGAAATTCTTAACAAAAGGGAAAGACTCTGAAATATTTATAAATTTTGGTAAATTTAACATTCTGTCTAGTATACTGATGAGATTCGAAACATCTGGACAGACTACGTGGCATTGCATAGTTGTCTTGCCTAAATAACCAAGAACCTTGACCTAAGGTGAGAAATTTCGATTTTTATAAATCACTTCGGCCAATACGGATAAATGTCTTAATTTCTGTGAATAAATCTTATCAGTCATATTATTTAAAATACACTCGAATAACAAGTTTGTCACTGTATGTTTCCATGCTAAGAAATTGTCCATACATTTTTCGACACAACTGGTTCTTAAAACATCGTAGGATGCCGGCTCAGTGGTCTAGTAAGTTGTACGTTCGTGCTCGAGACTGAAGGCCCTGGGTTTGAATCCCACGAGCGGGATCGTGGATTCCCACTGCTGAGGAGTTCCACGGGTAAACTCGAGGCTTCTGTGAGAAGCTCAGAAAGAGCCGAAGATATTCCATCCAATCACCTTTTGGAAGAATATTCTAGAATCCCTACGTTTAGCCTCCCGATTGAACAATGCTAATATTTCCCTGTGTGCGGATTAGAGGACTGCAATGATGATTTCGTTTCTTACTAAGAACTATAAATACCTGACAATTTCCTGCTAAAATTGACACTGTCTGGAATAACATTCCTTTCACTAGCCTTCTGTATTCTCATTGCAACGTGGAAGGGTTCAAGCGTTCTAGTGCTCAAGTTTTACGCTGTATATCAAGAATATAAGCATCTAGTTATAACACCCATAATAGAACGAAACTGTCGTCCAGTGCTTCCAGGTTTTCAATGGTAGTCTAACATCAATCGGTTCAAGATCTCAATCTATCTTAAAATCAAGTTGGGTTACGCTGTTCTCATCATAGTTGTTCGATTGCTTTTGGGTAAAAAGTAAGATGTGAAAAAGTCATCAAAAAAGTGGATTTCACTTATCAACCGGTGAATAAATTATATGACATAAACGTATTTTCCATGTTGCATTCACAAATCGGTAGCCATAAATAGTTTTTAAATAATATACACAAATAAAACTCACATGAGTATGTATGGTAGTCAAGTTCTACATGTATATGAGATCTAAATTTGTAAAATTTTGATCTTACACAGCCACTAAAGACAGAAATGTTGCGTTCATACGGTTTACATACAACTTCGATTAGAACTGGGTACTTCTCAACAGATGTCCGAGACGATTTGAATTTCAATCGAAAGATAACTGCATAGCTTTTACCAAAGTACAAATGACCGGTCTAAATAGAGGAATAAAAGAAGTGATGACTAACAAGTGTTGTTTCTGAACAAATTGGACGTATATAAGTAGTTCAAATGATTTACAAATATTGGGTCTTTTTTTCAATCCAACCATAAGTCTAAGCTAATGTTAAAAAAACCACACATATATCGGTCTATCAAGTGTCTTCAAAATAAACTGCCTAGAATAAGGTTAAATGAATAATTGTGAATCTCAGAACTGAATATAAACAATTCCATTTCATAGTATTATATGAAAAACTTAAGAATACAAAGACTACAGCTTCGGTTTTACACGATACAAATGATTTAAAACTGACATATGTAACTCTGTAGTAAATTGGTTTTCCTAAAATGTCAAATAAGTTCAGCTAAAAACGGACATAGAACATTACAGTAGGATTTCTATTGATTATTGTCAAACACGATGTATGTAATGGAAATATTGTATCGTGGCCGGGTTCGGTTTTAAAAATATTATCTCTCTGACTGTGATCAAATTTACCATGCCGTTCAATTAACCAATTTCGCATACAGACTGTTATTTAAGCCCGTAATAATTTTCTTATAAATATGTCTTCAAGCTTGTATAAGGTAGCATTTATGACTGACCGCTTGTGAGAGCCCACACAACAACTTATTTGTCGTAAGTACATCCAAATTTCACAGTCATTAACTAGTTTTACGAGTGGTCGATTTTTCAGTATTATTTCAGCTTCTATTAAAAACGTCAATACCCTCTGAAACAATAGTGATCGCAGAATTCTTCTTATTGACTTTATGATGCGTCCCCATACACTGCCTCACTGACTAGCTCCCGGAAGGTTATAGCGCCATTAACAACCTCTCTCTAAAAAGGCATTTGCTATCTTATTCTAGTTCCAAATACACATGGTCTGTCTAAGAATAGCGTTGGCTCCTGTAAAGCTACCAGATGCACCCTTACTCTTATTTAAAACTCGTACAAGAGCGCCTTTTTCAACACCATCCTCGATACCACGGCGAATATGTGCTGCCTGCTTCTTCAGGGTCTTAGTTACTGGCTTCTTCGTTACAGTGGCCTTCGGCCTTTTCGCAGTCTTGACTTTCAGTTTGGTATCCTTCTTTTCCTTAGGCTTTCTTAAAGTTGATTTGGGTTTATTAGCAGATGGTGCTTCAGTTTTTGGCTTAAAAACCTTGGATTTAGTTGATAAAAAAGAACAATGAACTTGACGAGAGACATTTCGGAACGAGCATACTCCGCAACACCATATGCAGATTCTGAGGCATCGGCAGAGCAATGAATCTGACTAGCCAGTGGTTTGTACGACTTTGGTAATGCTATACGATCTTCCACAGACATCGATGAAGTATGACTAAATGGGTCATTGAATTCAGTTGAATGCAATTGTTCAAACTTATCCTCTAACTCCGCCTTAACCGAGAGGTAATCCAGTACACGGTTGCTTTAACGGGGTTCTCCGTAAGGGTCAGACAGCGTCCTCACAGCAGACGGTTCATTCGTCTTTCCTTTTCTTATCTCTTTCATCTCGTGTACGCCGTGCTTTTCACCTAATCAACAGTTTGACATTCTCATCTACTCTCGAAAAACTTATACCTTTTAAATAGGATCAGGATGCCATTTGATGTGCCGTTGTCACAGTCCTGTAAACTGCCAGTAGTTTTGTGACTCTTAATACTTTCCGGAACGTAACGGATGATGAAAAATCTATCGAGTGCAACTCTACATCGACCTCTTTGGATACCAACGACGATTCATTACTAAGAGTCTTTAAAGATACCGTCTTTGGTTTCCACTCGAGGCCTAACTTATTAGCTTGGTCATCAACTATGAGAGAGGTATCTGACTCGCTATCTAGAAAGGCGCGAGTCTGAATAATCTAACCATTTTTATCCATACAGGTACTACTACAAATGCTACTGGTCTCTGTATACACTTGACGACTTCCTCCGTACAAAGCTGAGTATTAATGTAGGCGTCACTATTAGTATTTCTTTGTTCTTCTCGCTTCTCGTGTAACAGGGTATAGTGTCTCCAGCCACACCCTTCAACAGCACATGACTTCGGCGATCGACAGTTTTTTGCTACATAGTTTGCCTTCAGACAAACATTACATAACTTGTGTCTAAGGACGAGTTCTTTCCTTTCTCTAACGTTCTTGTTTTTAACCTTCTGACATTGATCTAAAGAATGATTACTTAAGCACTCCAAGCAAGATGAACTGCGTAAGGGAGCATTATTATCAGCACTCGCATAGAATATCCTTGCTGCATTGTAATCTACACTAATTTTCCCCTTTAAAACACCAACATCTCTATTGTCTCTATTACTACCGCGGTTGATAAGTAGGCCGTATCTAGTATTAGATATATCAGCTTGTTCCTTTACAAAATCAACAAGATCGGCAAACATAGGCTCTCGACCTCCTTTGATAATCTTATAAGCTACCTTTAGCCACTCTTGTTGAATTTGAGTTGGTAATTTCAGAACCATAGTTTTAATAGTTCCAGAGGAGTTGAAGTCAGAGACGCAATTCATCTGTTCGGGAGTCAAATCAGATGCTTGCATTTCTCGAGACAGTCTTCTCATACCATCTGTTTGATTCCTTCTTATATTAGGGAAGTTTAACAAGTTGTCGGTAAACGTGCGTACTATAACGTGTTTGTGGCCAAACATTTCCTCTAAAAGCTTTAGGCCTTGGCGATAACCTATCTCTGGTTCTAGTGTAGTGCAATGAGGGATAGCGGCTCTTGCTTCCACGTAATTTCAGTAGGTATATCGAAATTACTATTCGAAACTTTGTAGGAAGTAATTTCCTACGGGTGTAACTCTTAGCTATTCTCTAGACTGTCGAGTACAGAGTCTTGGATTAGCCAAAGTCAGAACAAGCAAGCTAATGGGCTTGACAAACTTGATCTGTTTCTAAAACATGAATTAACACCGTTAGAATACAAAATAAACAGTACAGTCTATTAACACAGGAGAAAACAGAGACATAAGTAACATACGGAACAGTAACTAGAGTTTAGGGAAAATGAGTCAACAAAGCAAATGTTGTTTTATAATGAACATAAAATTGTGATTGGCGAATAAATAAGACATAGTCATACAGGGTCAAAGAAAGTTAATGTGGTGGTGGACGTTTCACTTTATCATTGGTGAGCTCGTTTATCGATCACACTTTACATACACATATGGTGGCTTGTTAAGCAGCACACATTAATTGGTCTTTATCATCTTGTGCTTATCAATTGTTCTATTTAAGCGTTGCCTATAGTACGGGTAAACATTGACTGCACGGCCATTTTTGTATTTTTTTTCGAGTGAAATTTTTTTTCATCCCTTTTGAAAAAATTTTCATCCCCATCTGCCAATAATTTTCATTCTGTTTCGCCCAATCAAATAACTAGTTTTGAGTTCATTATAATTGGTCGTTTATTTCTTCAAATCGATATAAAATATGAGGACTTGACGACAGAGCACATTTTCTTACAATTATGGACGGTGGTAACACGCAGAACACGAGCTCCGTCGTTCATCACGTTGTCACAGGAACCGGTAACCTGTTCGTTCTTGAGCACATTGCATATCGTAACGTCTCAATCACTTGACGAGCTCCATAAGAACTTATGAAACAGCTGCGTACTGCCATTATGTGGTGAGGGATTCTCATTTAAATAGAGATCGTAAGCCGTATATTAGATTCGTATGTTGGAGAAATGGTCGTGGAACACCTAGCGGTTCCTCACAGCCGAGTAGACGAACGAGGTAATTTGATTAGTGTTATTATAATTTTTCATAAAGGACTACCGTGAACACTCAATGTCCTTCCTTCATATTTTGTAAGTTACCGACTATCAAAATAACGTCAATATGGATGCAACGTTAAGCAATGAAGAGGAAGAAATTGTTTCGATTAGCTCAGAGGAGTTCACTGAACGAGACAACGACAATGACGAAGACGCGTATGAAAACAGACTTTGTGATATTTGCAATCTTGCGCAACCGCCACATGAAACTGTTGATGGAAGTACCTGGATTTTTTGTCCATGCGAAGCAATGCTTCATTGTGCTCGTCAATTGGGCTTAACAAGTTTTGCACGTAATGTCAACAGCATATTCACATGACTACTTACATAGACAAGTATTTTTTGTTATAATTTTCAACGGCTCAACTACAAAGAATGTACAGGTAAAAACAAGTAACGCTTTTAACGGATTAGCAAAATAACTCAATTGACAATCTTGCATTTATTTATGATACCACTTTTCCGGAAAAACTAAACAATACTTTTCTACTAAGAATTACTGTTTGGAAAAGAACCCAATCATAAGTATTATTTGCTATTTTATGAGAGAAGTTGTTACTATTTTGCTTCATTTACGGATCGTTAACGGTTAGCGTGATTTATGCATGCCCTATTCATTATTTTATCACGATGATTTATGGATATGTTGCTACGCACATAACGTTTATTAAAATAACAAACGATGTGTTAAGAAAAAACTAATGGAAATACTTCGATGAATAATTTCTTTACTAATTGTCTATTAAACATTTGACCATCTTTCAACGTCAGTTATTACTATCATCAACTATTAAAACCAGTTATAAGTTTTTCCAAAATTCTCTTTTAGTGATCTAATCCACGAAATTTCTATAAATCTCAATTGATTATATTGCTTAATCACTAAGGCTTAATTCGAATTCATCGATGTTGGTTCAGTTGACCTTTCCTATAAAAATTATGTCGTTGTACTAGTGAACTGGTAGTACTACATTGGCCTATAGTAACTTTTTTTATGACAAAACACTGAAACATTCTGAATAAGTTTTGCATGTACTATTCTTAGACAGATGAGTGTTCATTAGATGACATTTCCTATACGAAATCGTTTACTTAAACCGTATATTTGACAAAGCTTAAAAAGCGTTTATGAATACGTAGGCGCTAATCACACAATGACTATTAGTCTTAAATGAATTTTGATGGTTTGATCACTTGACCTTTGCTATGGAAATTAGGAATTGAAACAAAAGAATTTAAATCAAATTGTGGGTGGCCCTGAAAAGGGCCTTTACTCGTTCTCTTAACAGTTCCGAGTTTCATGAACAAGGGCGTTGCTATTATTCAATTATAGCTCCGTACATGGGACAGTGGATTCGATGGACGTTTGGTGATGGGTCGTAAGCACAAAATAAATGAAGCATTGCTTCCCATGGACAAAAGATCCAGGTATTCCATCAACAGTTTCATGTGGCGGTTGCGCAAGATTGCAAATATCACAAAGTCTGTTTTCATACGCGTCTTCGTCATTGTCGTTGTCTCGTTCAGTGAACTCCTCTGAGCTAATCGAAACAATTTCTTCCTCTTCATTGCTTAACGTTGCATCCATATTGACGTTATTTTGATAGTCGGTAACTTACAAAATATGAAGGAAGGACATTGAGTGTTCACGGTAGTCCTTTATGAAAAATTATAATAACACTAATCAAATTACCTCGTTCGTCTACTCGGCTGTGAGGAACCGCTAGGTGTTCCACGACCATTTAATATACGGCTTACGATCTCTATTTAAATGAGAATCCCTCACCACATAATGGCAGTACGCAGCTGTTTCATAAGTTCTTATGGAGCTCGTCAAGTGATTGAGACGTTACGATATGCAATGTGCTCAAGAACGAACAGGTTACCGGTTCCTGTGACAACGTGATGAACGACGGAGCTCGTGTTCTGCGTGTTACCACCGTCCATAATTGTAAGAAAATGTGCTCTGTCGTCAAGTCCTCATATTTTATATCGATTTGAAGAAATAAACGACCAATTATAATGAACTCAAAACTAGTTATTTGATTGGGCGAAACAGAATGAAAATTATTGGCAGATGGGGATGAAAAATTTTTTCAAAAGGGATGAAAAAAAATTTACTCGAAAAAAAAATACAAAAATGGCCGTGCAGTAAATGTTTAACTAAAATACGCTATTGGCACTGATTTATTATTTCACCTTCTGGAAATAAAACCCCGTCAAGGAATAATAATGTCGACGGTTATCCGGACGATTATTAGAAATCGATAACGCCAACGGAATGTTTTACTTTAAGCAATAATTTTTCTAGTAGAAATCTGACGGGTCATTTCAAGTCTGAAAAATTGGTTATCTAACTCACAAGAATGCTACATTTTGAAATTTAAATGATACTTCATTTTCGAATAATTGGAAACTTTTAATATACTGCCATAAAGAACAACCGATTATTCATTTTAGAAAGCCTATGTGAAGTTATTTCCCAAAATAGAATTCAGTTCATGTGAGAACTTGAAAAACTGTTTGCAAATCTTTAATAATATTTTTACAAATGACATGAATGTTACCAAAGATTGAAAACAAATCACAACAATCGGAAGCAAACTATTTCTGCTTGTCAACCAATTCAATGCCTTACATTCCTTTCGTTTAATACAGTTTACGTTTACCATATTCGAATCTGTGAAATTTTGTGATTTAACTTCAATATGCAACAAAACACATAAGCTTACTGTGAACTGAACCGATTTGGATACTGGATTTAAAGCAGTTTTCAATGTTATATCATCTGTATTCCCCGTTTTATTAAGTACGTCAATTGACTGTATCTGTGGACTGAGATAGAATATTATTGACTGTCTTTCGCATTCCAATCCGGTACCGTTCATCATTTGAACCAGAGTTTGAAGATAAACTTCATCCCTGTATACAGCATTGCAAATAAACAATTTGAAAATAAAGTATTGAAACCAACTACCCTGGTTATAAAATGTGGTAGTAATTGTACTACAAAATAGATAATGTAAAATATCATATTTGATTGAGTATTATTCACAGTTGTGTTTGTGGGTCGATTTTAGTGGTCTAAAAATGATAATAATTTGTATTCTAGTCCATACTTCATTAGGTCACGAATTCACACTTTTATCGTGACCAATGAAGTCCGGTGCATGTCGGGTGTGAGGAAAGTACTCATCAGAGACAATGGAAGTTTGAGTGCTTGCAGGGTGTTCGAATGCATTGATCTCGATTCCTAGTGTGGTCATGGATGCACATACTAGAGCAAACCAGTTGTTTAGCGCTTCTAGGTTTTCAGTGGTTTTTTAATTAAGGTCTGTTCGTGATCTAACCGGTAAACAACAATTCCCACAAAACCCCACACTGAGAATATTTCTAGCCAGTTATTATTTAGTAAAAGTAATTGTGGCCTGGGATTACTTAAGCTTCTTCCGTCCTCAACCATCTCCGTATTCTGTTAAACAAGCAGTGTCATCATGAAGATGTTTTAAATGAAAGTGTAATAGTATTAATAGAAGGTGTATTGTTGATACCTTCTAAAAATGAGGAAGATTAGAAAGGCATGTTTGATATCTGATTAAAAACGAACAAACGATATTTCTGATGATCAGAGTGTTCTGTTAAATAATTTACAGTTGGCTATACAGTTGACTGGATTGATCCACATGAAACGAAATTACTAATGCTAGTTAGGTTTACTTTTGGTATTATTCCATAGGTTTGGAAATCATATGGTTCAACATATCACAAACCATCCATAAATGGGACTCTATTTATATGACATATAATTAGTAGTAAATTTTGAAACAAATCACGTCTAGTAGAGGATAAATTTTATAATTTTGCCTTGAGATATATTTCATATAAGTAACAAATAAAGGTCAGACAAATTATCACAGCCATTGTATCCTCTCACATTTGATTCTTTCAATCATTATATTTTACGCATTCACCTCATAATGCTTCTGACCAGCTAGAATTCGGCTAAACAAACAGATCGAACAGTTTTAGTATGAACTATGAACAAATAATTGAAAACTCATTCTGAGTTAAAACAGTATTCCTTAGAATCAAAAACAGGTTAAGCCGGCGGAACAGTTGAATATATGACTTTATCAAGTTAGAAACCACTGATTTTGAACTGAACGATATAAAAGCCGAGAAACTGGAAAATTTCACATTATGCTGGTGAAGCAGAACCACACGAAATGTATTGCCTCCTGTCGCCAAAACAGTAGTTTTTATAATGGTTCTAACCTGTATAATTGATTTCGATTATTACCCTGACCAAGTGCAAACCAACATCGCGGACGAAAGGTTGGAATTATGTAGGCTTAAATCGCTGAGATGATCTCAAATATAATATTCATGCAGTTTTTACATATAACTTAAATTACTAGTGACCTGCAGAAGGTGAATAAACTCATGTGAATTAGCAACACTGTGTGACATGAATGATTCGAGTTTGACATTAATCTGTATCACAAGGTAATTCGTTTTCAAATCAAATTTTATGACATTGACTTAATGGTAGCTTGGTAGTCAAGTAACACAATAGACTGATTAAGGTATTTCTTGTGGTAGTGTTGTACAAATGGCTACGAACTGATATCATTTCATACTGATATTGACATCGTAAGTTGTAGGTGATTTACACTCGGTTTAGAAGCTGATAAATAGATCCTGAGATGCACTAGAAGACTACTTAACAGAATAATTACAATCTACTATTGTAAAATCAACTCATTTGTAATAGGGAATCAATTATATGAAAGTATAAACACGAAACGAAGGTTAGAATATTTTAAACAAACCGATCAGGGCAATCATTGGATGCAACCAGTGATAATTGAGATGGTACAACTTTAATTGAAGGTTTTTCCAAGCCAGTTCTTACACAAGTTACAGATAAGTTGGTGAGTTTTGTAATATTATTGAATTGACCAGCAAATTGCAGCAACCAGACAGTCCCATTTTCAACACTTTTACTATCACTTAACTGGATATCCACTGAAAGTATGGCAGTGTTGCGCATTAGAGGTACACTAACGGTTCCTGTAAATTGGAAATAATGTTCTCATAAATATTTCGTGCAATTTAGATTCTAGGACAATGTATTTTATATTGAATTAATGGTAGACCATCCAAGCAACACTCTTAAATTAATTGTATGATAATATAACAAAAGGCAGAGCAGACGTTTCTGGAAATTTGTCACCCATTTGGACATCTAGAAAATGTATTGTTTCTGGCAAACGTTTCATATTGTAATCCGAGTGGATTTCAGATTACTTAAAGAAATCCTTATCACAGGTAAATGGTTATTTAACCACAGAGGGTTTGCTGAGGTTACTGAATCTCATGGATTACATCATGGATTTTGTCATGAATTAATGTTAGATAAATATTGATTGAAAGACAAAAAGCACTGAACGGTTGATTCGCTTTAATACTGGATTCTTTGACAGCGTACATTCACGACCCACCTGGGATAGAACATGGACTCGCAGTGAGCCCCTAACATTTAAACAACCGAGCTGGTGTCCAGCGAATTACATTTATATCATAATCTTGAAAAACTATTCGTATAAATATTCAATTTTGTTCTGAGTCATAGAGTTATCATGGCAGCTGAGTAGCTGACTTATTGCTAAATCTAAATTTAATAGTCAACTCACCGATATTAACGATATTTTCAAAGTGAATTATCAAGCGATCGATTAGGCCTGTCTGATTATTTGGCTTATAGGTAGATGAATAAACAGTTGTCAGTGGGACTAAATTTGAACCCAAGCTTATTCTGAAATCAACGACACTTATTATGGTCTCATTGTTATCGTTTGCTCCACCTCCGCTAATTTCTACAGACGAGTTTGGATAAGTGGAATTCAATGGAAATATATACTTCACAGTAATAGTTGTTCTTTCACCTGGCTGAAGGTTAACTCTGATTGGAAGTAATTCGACCAGTATCTGAAAGGAAAATAATTGAAGTCATATTATCGCAATAATGGTTGAATGTTGCTGAAACTTCGAATAGTTTTGTAGTTCAAATTCCTCAAATACTTTCCGTTATATGCTGACAATAATAAATGAATGGTAACCGTTAGGAGTTATGTGTATATTCTTATTGTATGACCATATTATATGAATATTCATATTCCTTTCATTATAAGCTTTTATTTGACCTATAGACTATAGTCATGCGATAGACCATTTTTAAGTTTTGCCCACTTTATTAATTGCAGTCTCCCACAATTACATCCACTTTTGGCTTGATCTTGTATAAATGTTATTTTCTATTTTCTGGTGTGAGGTTGAAATGATTCTCCACCACCCATTGATTAGAAATTGTAGGATGTGATAAAAAAAATTTAGGAATTGGTGATTGATGTACTTGTTTTGCAAGTGTGTAACTCACCTTTAATAATTTTTTTAATTGGTCGTAAACTGTTCATCTTTGTAATCTGATTAGTTGAAATCGAAATAGCATCATGTACTTTGATTGTATGTCAGAATTTGCATTTTTACATTTGAAATTTATTTTTAATAAATAATTCTTTTTATTTCATCTGATTCTTTATGAAAATTTTAACTTCTGAACAAAAATACACCAACTGCATTTCACAACCCTGCTATACTCCTATCAGTGAATGTGTATTAGGATAAGTTTTTTTTTTTCGATCAAGTAGACCTGGAATTGAAGTCGTTTGTTATCTTGACAATATTAATTATATGTATCTCATTAAAAGAATGTTTTGGAAAGAAAACTGATAACGGTTTTAATCTTTGATAATAGTCATTACTGAAGTAGAAAGGTAGTCAAATGTTTAATGCACAATTAATGAGCAAATTATAACCGAAGTATTTCCATTAGTTTTATCAACACATGGTATGTTAATTTAAAAAATCAGCATATCAATAAATCATCATGATAAAATAATGATTAGGGAATGTATAAATCACGCGCACCGTAAAGGATCGGTAAATTAAGCCACTTTTACGCTATTTCAAAGAAGTAATAACTTCTCAGGAAGATGTCATTAATATTTATAGTTGGGTTATTTTGTAAATAGTAATTCTTAATACAAAATAGTTGTTTACTTTCGCTTTATAAACGGTTTGGTTAATAAAACGTAAGATTTCAATAGGTTTATTTTGCCAATCCATTAAAAGCGTTAAATGTTTTTACCTGTACATTCTTTGTAGTGTACGAGTTTATAATTATGAGAACAAATACTTGTATGTGTAAGCAGTCATTTAAATCGGTTATTGGGCTTGGGAAGTGCGCTTTAGGTTTTTTTTCACGTTATGTCAATAGCAAATAATGGCAGTACGTAGTTCTTTCATGAGTTCTGATAGCGCAGTATAACGCTTCAATTGATTGGAACGTCAAGAGATATAATGTATTCAAGGATATGTTTTCTGTTTCTGTGACAACGTGAGAAACGACGGAGCTTGTACTTCGTACGTTACCATCGTCCATAATTCGAATAAAAGGGGTGGAAAAAAAATTATTAAAAAATGAAAAATGGTCGGTTGTTTAAAGAAATCCTGGTGCGAGGCCTTTATAGTCCTCACATTTGCTCAGATCTTCGTTCTTTTGTATCTTGATGAGGTGTGTCCTTCTTTCCAGTATGTTAGTGGCATTTGTTCCTTCTCCAAAATCCTCCTGAACAGAGTGTGAAGCATGTTTGCAGTCAATTGTAGGGCTGACTTCAGTACTTCAGATTGAATATTGTCAGGACCTTCTGCTTTCCCACTCTTGATTTGACTGATGGTCATCCAAATTTCTTCCATCGTTGATGGAGTGACATCTATAGGAAGGTTTATGTGTACCGTTTCGATATGCAGTGGATTCAGTGGAGCTGGCCTATTCAAGAGTACCTCAAATTATACTACCCACCTGTTCCTCTGTTCTTGAGTCTCGGTGATTGTCTTGTCTTCTTTGTCCTTGACTGGTCCTTCTGGTTTACTATATTTCCCTGTTGGTGTTTTCGTCGTGTCATATTGTTGTTTGGTATTTTGCCTGCACTTACATCTTAGGTTACAAGGTGTTGGATATAAAAATTAATAACTACGAAAAGTTAACGTTTAATTGCTAGTTTGTGTTTTTTGGTTTTCTATAGGAATTGTGAAGGATTCAACATTATCGCTAACAAATGAGATAAGTTATCACATTCCAGTGTTTACTGCTAATTATGACCAGGTACCGGTAAATTTCACTTACAATATAACAATTGGTTCTTATTCTACTTCTGGTAGCTTTATGTTTATTACTACTACTCCAGCAGTAAGTTAAATAAATTGTTTCATATTATACGTTTTAATCTGCATAATTATTATGTAATGTGTTGAATTCTGTAAAATTGTTTGGTGAAATCAGTATACAGTGTCCGTTTACAAACTGTTATTTTTATCTTACTGATAATGCTTTTCCTTACCTAATCAATTAACTTTGCTTTATTTAAAGTAAACGGATATGAGATCCGACATTGACTATTGAATCTAAGTTGGGAACGAATTCTGACTGCTAAATGAACGAAAACAATCATGTTATGAAATATCTATCCACTTTTCACATGAGATTTGATGAAATAATTGTTCTTATATTTCCATTTGAAAAAATGTATATTTCGTCCCACATAGCTAGTGCCATAAAATTTTACTGCAAACATCATTTTAGTGAAAACACTATAATAGTAGAACGTATTGGCGTACAATTTATTTGTTCTGGTCACTCTACAAGATTTTCGATTTGTACAACCGACAGAATTCTGAAAACTCTTTTGTTGATCCCTATTTGTCTGAAGTCTAATTATTAGTCCAGAAAGTAGAATAAAAAAGTATGAAATATTAATTTAACACAACTGACTTCTGTTTGAAGTAGAGTAAGTTATTAATCTACCAATCTAATAGACGAGAAGCAGATCCTACAGAGGTGTATATAATAATCAACACTTAGTGATTCAGTTTAGGAAAAGCATATATTGAAGTAAGCGTTAAATCTCTCATGATCAGTTGTGAATGGTTTATATTACAAACTATTGTAGTGACCATATATCTACTTAGAGATGCGGTCAATAATTCTTGGCAATGGAATAACATCACAAGCATGAGATGATATATTTGTATTCATTATAAAACCACTATCAACAACATATTTTATACTTCCCTATACATTTCATTGGTACTGATTGCTCCACTGGTTTTTAAAATGTATCAATAAATTTGTAATCTAAGTTTAGATGTAAAATTGCTTTTCAAATTAAAAAGTGAATACTTCACAAGCAAATGACATTCGAATGTATTTGCCTCCACTTTTAGATATTCTCTAAACCTAGTTTGACAACATTTTTTCGAATTTTGATTACTGATGTTCACTTGACGAAACGAGTGTTTCACTAGTTGTTTATTGTTATAACACCATAATGTCGTTGGATTTAGAACAGTTAGAATTCTTCATCTGGACTAATTAGTTTTCACAATAAAAACTTTTTAATCAAGTGTAGCTAATTATACAACTCCTCTTGTAGCTCAACTACAGTTACTGCCGGTGACAAGACTGGATAAAAGAAGATTAGACAAATTAAACCGTTTAAACTTTGCTCTCCGAGTCAAAAGAAGAATTATGATGCCTCGCGATGAAGGCCGAAACTCTTCGGAAGTGATTAGGCTGATGCCACTGCTAACAAACACAGCAACCATTAATACCGGGACATAGGATATCCAACCAATGTGGCAGACCGGAAGGACTAATCAATCAGCAATGAAAATGAGGAGATACAACTCGACAGTACTCGAAATCAGTGAAAACTATTGAACTCAACCTGAACAGATAAGATTAGCTTCAGGAGATATGCTGCTGTACTCTGGTCACGAAGAAGAAGAGGCTTCTTACACTCAGGCAGTTGCACTGATGCTGTCCAACGAAGCATGTAATGAACTTATAGGATGGGAATCTCATGGATCTAGAATCATCAAAGCATCCCTCAAAAAAAGAAGGAAAGAAACCCAATGAGTATTATCCAGCGT